ACTTTTACTGCTTCACTACTTTCCGTTTACCAATCTCAGTTGATGAAACCTGTGCACTTTTGGAAGCTGGACCAAGCTCCGTCCAGTCACCTGGTAGAACCTATCAACTCCTGTAAGCTCATGAAGTAGCTCTCTAGATGGCCTGACACGTCGATGGGAAGTAGCAACAGTGCAAATTCCCCCCCCCCCGCCGTTGCCGGACTGCCGCGTGGATGTTTTCAGTTGTTGTATTTTCTTGGTTTTTCCCGTGTCAAGGTGCGTTATAGGCCCCTCCGCCCTCCCCTTACGTGTGCTAGTTTTAGCTAGCCTTGCTCAGGAATCCTTTTTCAGAAGATAGTTCCTCAAGAGTTGGTCGATAATTTTATGGGAATGGTCTTACCTGGCGGAATGATGGATTCCGACATCAATCGGCATTGCGCTCACAACTTTCCTGCAGTGGCATACACTCTCGGAAGAGCCAGTTGGCCTCAGTTGAGGGACACCTACAACAAGCTCGCCAATGATGATCAAGTTAGTCTTATGCTGCATTCATACTTTGCATCGGCGTTTTGAACGTACGGCCGAGTTTTGAGCGGCTAGAAAAGTATAGGTATCGATCCAGCGTAAGCCCGTGAGACGTTCAAAACGCTGAGGCAAAGTATAGACGCACTTCTACCGCGATCATTCCATGAGGATCTAGGGTTGTAATGATGCTATCTATTACAGCTCAAAGTACGGGTTTCAATAGCGAGTTCGATCCATGAAATGGCGGCTATTGTCGGTGCACGACATACTGATGACGATCTTCTTCCAGTATTCCATGCATACAGGTTCGAATGATTATAAATCTTTCATGTTACACAACGATATTGGGTTTCTTTTACCTTTTCTTTATATTGGCGAAAATATGTCATTGTTAAGGGCTGCTAATGCTTTTTGATGTCTCAAACATCACTTTCCAAGAAATGCAACCTGAGTTGATTGGTTGCCTTCCTTGATATTTTTGCCAATGTTCCACTTAGTATTCATTACTAACAGTATTTCACACTCTATTTCTTCTATTTTAAATATATTTCAGGCGTTAACCTTGGAGAAGAATCGCGCTGTTAGTTAAAGGGCAATTTTGCGCATTTTAGTCGTTTCTTTGCTAGCTTCCTAGTATAAAACACGCTTTACATCCACCTTGGGGTGAACGTGAGACTCCTTGTCAAATGTATGACGATGCTTTTACTGCTATTGTATTAACTATATTAGTTGCCAAGATCTGTGGCAGGAGCAGCTAGTGATTGATGGGAACCATGAAAATGCCCTCACCAAGCAGAATTGCGCCCAGGGGGCATTTAAAAGACTGGTATTGTAACCATCCGAATAGAAATTACCGTACTTGGAATTTGTCATCCGCCCCAAAAGCTTTACGCTTATTACAGACCTAGGTCAAGGCTAACTAATCCCCTTCAGGTAACTGTCAGCTTTGCAAAGGGGTTCTTTAAATGCTGCACGCTACCCTCCGCCCCCCCTCCGCCTCCCTAAATTGAAGCCTAACAATAAGTTACGAAAGAAAAGCACCTGCTTGTCGGAATCAGTATAAACATTCAGTTTGTTGGCATTTTATGATCGTTCACTCTATATTTTCACTTGACTCAGATGAGGTGATTGTCGTTTTGCGACCCTATATACCTTTTTGTAGGGAGGATGCATTCGAAGTGCGTGTCGGGCTTTTGAAACATCTATTTGAATTCTATCGGGTGAGTTTCTTCTTCCTGCTTAATGTTTTTCAATTTGCACGCACCTTCCATGAACACTAATAGCGCTTCTCAGGCGCTTTCATGATGTGTTTCCTTCACTTCATTCTTGTGCTATTAGTCATAGATTGATTTAATTCTCGCGTGTCACGCTTTCATTATAATCCATTATTTTAGTGTTTGTCGCCAGAAACTCGAAAAGGAATGATCGATGCCCTTCCTCAGTTCATGCCAATGGATAACACGATGCTGAACGGTAATTGGAGGTATCGACACGAGTTTGCCAAGTTAGTTTTGCAGTTATTGTTCTTGCTTCGTTAGTTATTGGTTACCCTATTTTCTGGGGTATAAGGCGCACCCTGGCGCACCTTCGCCTCGAACGCCGCCGAAGTTTTCCCCTTGCTTTCCTTCTGCGGACTTCTTGTATGTTATCATCTATTTGGGTGATTTATATGGAGTAGGAAGTGTTTAAAAATGCAGTTAGACGAATAAAACACACGAAGAAGGCTCAAGAGCGGTCGTTGTGCTTTGGTGCTTTCCGAGCGTGTTGTCGCGTGTTGCGATAATGATAAATAGATAACTGTCCTTGAACCCCGGGAAAACTGTTATTAGGGGCAAAAGGCCTCTATTATGAGAATTTGCGAGATGCCGCATCCGCAGCCACGCGGAAATGCGGCATCAGGTGCGTAGTCTTCGCTCTAGAACGTAGGACATGGAAGTGATGGTGTATGGCTGTGTTCATAATTTGCGTCAGCGCACGACAGCAGAGTTTTGAGCGACTAGGAAAGCATGGATATCGATCTTGCGTTT